CCCGAGAGGTGGAGGTAGGGAACGAGGTCCTTGGCAGCTTCCCGGTCGTGCAATCAGGGCACTTGCTTGGCTGCCCACCACCTTCCTTGATCTCCACACCCTTCAGCTCCCCCTTCTTCACACACTCCACAAGCTGTTGCTTCCCCGCATGCCCCATGCGTAGGTGCAGCAAATCCGCCGTCACCTGCTCCACATCCCTCCAACGCGTGCTACAAGCGGCTTCCTCGGCTTCAACACCATGTGCCCTCTCCACCTGAGGCACACAAACTGGAACAAGGTATATACCTTTCTCTAATTTTGCCTCCATCACCACAGCTCCACCCTTGCAAACCGTGCCACCTTCCATGGTGAAGGTGCATATGTATTCTTGCTTCGCAAGCTGAGAGCATGAGAGAAGGTTGGCTGCCAATCCAGGAACATGAAGCACACCCTTCACATTCAGCACCTCCCCCTCCTTCCCCTTGACGGTGATGGTTCCGATGCCGATTGCTTGTAGCTTATCTCCACTCCCCACAATCACATTTCTGGAGTTAGGTGGGAGGGAGTGATAAGTGGTGAAGAGGTCGCGCCGAGGCACCATTCCACAGGTTGCTCCAGAGTCTAGAATGAGCTGATTGGGGTCAGCCAACGTACGACCAGCAAGCGCCGTTCTATCTCCAAGGATAAGAAGGCGAAGCCATCATCCGATGAGTCCTCCTTTCCCTTCTTATCCTCGTTTGCCGCCGCTGCTGCCGCTTTCTCTTTGCTGCCCTTTTTGTTCCATGCTCCATTCTTCATCCTCCTCTCCACCCACTCGGGCCTAGTGACAGGTGGAGCCTCTCCTGGGTACCCTTGAGGCTTCCACCCATCTGGTCGGCTCCAACACTCCTTCCAAGAGTGCTTCCGGTTGCATCCAGAGACGAGGCACTTGTCGAGCTTCTTCTTCTTCCCCCCACCTCCTTGCCGCTGCTGGTATTTCTTGGAGGCAGCCCTATCACCTGCCCCCATTCCCCCTTCAACTCCTCTACCAGCATCCCGCTTGCGAGCCTCATCAGAGACCAACACCTCCCATATCCAGGCCTTGGTCCATTTCTGTTGCTCAAGGTGAAGGTACTGCAGTAGGGCCTCGTTCGCCTCTTGGTCCAGCCCCTGGAGTGCGGTGTAGATGATCTCCTTCTCATCTACAGTGTGGTTTAACTCCTCCAAGGCTCTCACATACTCATCCACCCTCTTGAGATACTGCACCATGGTCTCCCCATCACCATAGTTGCGTTCCATGGTGTAAAACCGCTTCCTCCAGGTGAGTATGCTTAGCAACCCTTTTTGCAAGTGCCGATCTTGAACTCTCTTCCATGCTTCGGCAGCTGCACCTTGCTTCCCCTTCAGGTCAATCAGCATCTTTAGGAGCTCTAGTTGGCCTTCCAAGGCCCAACACAGGTACTGGAAGGCTTGCCTGTCCTTGCGGTCCCATGATTCCTGTGCCTTCATAAGCTCCTCCGCACTAAGCCGTTGCCTTCCGGTTCGCGGTGCTGCTGATCCACCTCCACTTCCCTCAGTTGTGGATGAGCTAGAGGCTCCCCCAGCCCCTTCTCCCACTTGGCTAGAGACTCCAGTAGATGCCTTCCCTTCATCAGCTTCAGGTCTTCGCTCCGATCCCTCCAAAACGCCCTCTAGGTCCTTAATACCTAGCCAAAGCGTAAACTGGAACCGCCATAGCGAAAAATCCGAGCCGGTGAACCTAGGAGGGTCATCTAATTTCTGGGCCATGACCAACCCTAGATCTGGAGGTCATTAAGCCAATTCGAAATATGATAATAAGAGGGAATGTCGCTGGCCTAACCAGCTCTGATACCACTGATGTAAAGCGTGCGAATCTGGAGAGCGTAACAAGAGATTAAGTCCGCCGACTTCGACGAAACATTGCGAGCAGCTCACGTAACCTAGAACAATGGGCAACTACGCGTTAGAAAGGTATTAATCTCTACTTTCCAGAATGGTAAAGCATGCCTTCAACCAAGATCTAGGCCGATCGCTATCGCGATTTATGTGCGACGGGGTATCCTGGCGGAATCACTTGGCAGCCATGGATTAGATCTAGGAATGACATGAGCAAGAGTTCAGATCTGAAAAGTGACGAGTTGGTCAAACCCTACCAACCCAACCCTCGCCCTACAACAATCCCCAACAACCCAAAATGCCAAACTCGCAACACCAAAGGTGTTGTAGTCAGTATGGAGTAATCGTTTGCCGACCAAGGTGCTACCGGGAACGACTCCGTTCGAAGCATGGACCGGAACAAAGCCGAACCTTTCCCGCCTTCGCACATTTGGGTGTCTTTGCTACTATCATGTACCGGATCCCCTTCGCCACAAGTTGCAACCGAAGGCTCGTGCGGCGATATTCTTGGGCATTGCGGCGAACGAGCGTGCATGGCAAGTGTGGGACTTGGGTGACAAGCGTGTCGTCACATCTCGGGACGTGGTCTTTGACGAAGACAAGTTCCCGTCGAAGGAGAAACCCACTCAACAACTCACCTTCATCCTTCCGCCACGAGAGGAGGCTGAAGAAAGTGAGGTTCCACCTCAAGTAGAGAAGGAAGCCAAAGATGGAGGGGGAGAAAACAACGAGGAGGGTGGATAAGGAGGGCACGGCATTTTGCTCCGTGACCAAGGGTGATGATGAACACGCGGATTCTCACATGGAACCACCCCCTAAAGGTCCATCCCGTGCATACTATGAGCATGTTGGATTGCACACCTGGTGGGTTGGGTGCAAGGGGGAGTGTTGGAAGTTGCGTGGGGCTAGGTTTTGCCCCCAACCACCGAACAGTGTTGCTTGTGGTGCTCACATGTTGCGTGAGCTGCAAGTTTCGAGAAAGTGCAGGTTGACATCGAGGGACTTGAAGTTCGGTGCCACATGGAAACACCATGCTTGATTGTCCCAATCTCTTGAAGCTTGCTTGCAGAGTGCTGAAGCAGTGTGTCTCTGCGTCAACCTGCGAGACCAACTGGTCGGTGTTGGAATCTGTTCACACTGTTCGCCGTAACCGTCTTGGTCCAAGGCGGTTGGCGGATCTTGTATACGTCACCCACAACTACAACACCGTGCGCAAGCTGCATGCGGAACAAGCCAAGAATCGTATGGTTGCAGGAACGACAGTTGGACGGGTGGAGGATGAGGAGAAGGACGATACCTACGAGCCACTCGATGACGAGGAACTCGAGGATTGCTGTTACGAGGAGTCGAAGGATGATGTTTAGTTAAACGTGCTTAATGTTGTACTCAAAATTATAATACCGTCATACCGTCATAGCCGGTGTGACTCTTGCGATCAGCTGAATCTCCAGCATAATCTGCATCACTAAAGCCCACCAACTCGACCTGAGGCTTGCTGTGTGCGGGGTAGAAGATACCTGACTTGACACAACCTTTCAGGTACCTTAGCACTCTCTTAGCAGCCTGCAGGTGAAATGCCTTGGGACAAGACACCACCTTGGACAGCTGTGACACTGCATAAGCAATCTGGGGCTGTGTGGTCGTGCTTGCATACATGAGAGACCCCACAATGCTTTGATAGAGCCGGACCAGCTCATCTCTCAGCAAGGGCTCCTCAGCGTGTGCATGCACGTCGAACCCTGTAGGGAGAGGGGTACGCACGGGGTTAGCCTCAGAAAGGCCAAAGGACTCAGGCATGTTGAGAATGTATCTTTCCTGATGAATCAAGATGCCACTCTCATCACGCTCAAATAGTACTGAGCCTCCCCCAAATCCTTCATGCGGAAACGAGAGGACAAGAGACCCTTCACCTCGTCCAGCAAGCCCATGCTCGAAGAGATGAGCAGAATGTCATCCACATAGAGGTAGAGGGCGACCAAAGGATGGGAGGAAAATGCGGTAAAGAAGGACAAAATGAAGGGTGTCAAGACATTGGTTAGAGACGACAACTTATGGAAAGGGGTCGAGCAAGTGCTGAAGGTTCTCAAGCTGGTTTACCTGCTGCTGTGAGAGATTGACGTCAACCAAGAGGTCATGGGAAAAATCTACGACAAGATGTTTCGCGTGGAGGATGCGGTCAACGAGGCGTGTCGCGGATTACCTGCCACTGAGAAGAATGCGATCGCAAAGGCTGTGCGCGACCGGTGGAATGACGACATCAACTGTGCACTCCATGTTGTCGGTCGGATACTGTACCCGCCGAACTAGTTTGAGAAGATCTTTGGCGTGGACAAGGAGTGTTCGAGGATATTTCGACGATTCATTCGAGAATACTATGATGGAGAGGTGGTGGTCGACGAGGACGGCGACTCCAAGCCCATGGCTACTGTGATTGAAGAGGAGTTGATGATCTACCTTCAAGGCGTTGGGGAAATTGGTGATAAGAAGGCACGTGAGGATCACGAGCTCATAAAAAAGGGTAAGCAGGATCCTGTCCATTGGTGAAAATTCAACGGGTGTGATTTGTTGGAGGTTGCGTGGGGCTAGGTTTTGCCCCCAACCACCAAACGGTGCTGCTTGTGGTGCTCACGTGTTGCGTGAGCTGCAGGTTTCGAGAAAGTGCAGGTTGACTTCGAGGGACTTGAAGTTCTGTGCCACATGGCAACTCCAGGAACATTCGAGACTCCAGGAGAATTCGGGTCGGTGAAATTCGAGTGTCGAATTTCACCCTTCGAAATGTTACTCGAACATTCGCGAGTGTACCGCGGTTCGAGGTTACATATAAAATTGTGTTGCTTTGCATTGCATGCATCATAGTGAAAACTAGAGTTCTTTGTACGTGGTACATTTGAACCAAAAATTCCAGAGAGCCATACTTGCATTCAAGAGCACCACCTAGCACGTGAACGCCTATATCTCGGCGGATACTTAGGCGATTAACGTGCTTGACGGCTCGTTGAAAAGCCGAGAACGTGCTTTATCGTTTAGAATGATTCCTAGTTCCTGCCAACTAGAGGACACGCCTCTACAACAGTGGTATCAGAGCTGGTCGGAGGAGTCTACGCGCGCTACAAGAAGCGAGCATGATGACGTCAAGCGAAGCCTCCGGTACTTCCTCGAGTGGTGTCGTTGTAAATTCCGGCGAACCCTGGGCAACCGCGACGATGTTCGACACGTCGGCGGTACCGATTTTCACGGGACAAAACTACTCCGCGTGGAAGTTTAAGTTCCAAGTGCTCATGATGGAGCGGGGACTTTGGGGTCTCTTCGATGGAACGGAGAAAAAGCCGACGGACAACGAGAGCGGCATCGCGGCATGGAAGAAGAAGGACCAAAAGGCGTTCGCTACGCTAATCTCGCGGATTGGCATGAACCTCGTGAGCTCAGTGCGCACGTGCATCAAGCTCGAAGCGTCGGCGCATGAAGTGTGGAAGCGGCTCGAGACGATGCACGTGAACAAGACCCTCCACGGCAAGATCCTAGCCCGGAACGCGTTCTACACGGTGAAGTTGCGCGCGGGCGAATCGATGCACGAGTATGCGACTCGTGTGGAGGAACTCGGGGAAACATTCAAGGACCTTGGTGGAACGGTCACCGAGGAGGATTGGATTCTCACTTTGCTTTGCGGCCTTCTGGAAGAGTGGTCGACGGTGATTACGACACTCGATAGCGTGCAAGGCACTTGGACGAAGGAAATGGTGGTCGGTCGGCTTCTCCATGAGGAATCACGTCGCCGACAATTCGCGAATGAGAGCGTGGAGTCCGCCATGTACTCCGGAGGGAGTTCCGGAAAGAATTCCAAGTGGAGCAAGGGTGCGACGAATGAATCGTCCGGTGGGAGCGGGCATCGCGGCAAGTGTCACTATTGCCGCAAACCGAAACACTTTTGGCGTGAGTGTCGGAAGCGGCCGAGCAATTGGACTTTATCGAAGGCGCGGGACGAAGAGGGCAACGCGCACACGGCATCCGGCGAGGCCGATGATTCAAAGGAGTCGCTCATGTTAGTGGCCGGCAACGGGAACGAAACTCCAAGCGACGCGTGGTTCCTCGATACTGGCGCAACGCAACACATGACGCACTCGGCGTCACTCCTCAACAACATTGGCGCTCTGGGAGATGTCACGAGCATCGTGTTCGGAAACAACGAATCGCTTCCGGTGGTTGGAGTTGGGAGTATGCGCCTCATCGTCGATAGCGGACCGGTGGACGTCACGAACGTGCTTCACGTCCCGGGGGTGAAGGTGAACCTTCTATCCGTCCCACAACTCGCGAAGAAGGGAGTGATCGCCAACATCGACGGTGCGAAGATGAACCTCTTTTGGAAGGGGGAGCAATTCGCGCAAGGTGTTCTCAACGGAGACATCTACCAACTCAAGACGTACCCGAGAGCGGCTTCATCCAACATGGCTTCATCCAACGTGGCTTCATCCAACGTGGCTTCATCCAACGTGGCGCAAGGTTCCAATGCGACTCTCAAGGCGTGGCATAATCGGCTTGCGCACGCCAACTACGACTCGGTCAAGTGTTGGTCAACAAAGGACTCGCGAAGGGAGTCGACGTGATCACCGGCGACGACGAGAAGGGCGTGTGTGCGGCGTGTGTCGAAGGAAAAATGGCTCGCAAGCCATTTGGTAGCCGAACGTCACCCCTCGCTAAGGACCCGCTTGTGCTTGTTCACATGGACATGTGTGGACCGATGCGGTGCGCATCAAAGGGAGGAGCGCGGTTCCTCTTGGTGATGCTCGACGACGCGACGCGGATGTGTTGGACCCGACTCTTGAAGACTAAGGGAGATGCGGCCAAGGCGATTCAAGGGTGGGCGCTCGAAGTTTGCGACGACGACAAGAAGCGGATCAAGTGTATTCGCACCGATGGTGGTGGCGAATTCGTGAACAATGAGCTTGCAAAATGGATGAAGAGCAAGGGCATCAAGCACGACGTCACAACACCCTACACACCCCAACAAAATGGAGCAGCGGAGCGGCTTAATCGCACATTGGTGAAGGCCGTTCGTTCACTTCTTCAACACTCCAAGCTTGGGAACGAGTGGTGGGGAGAGGCGAGTGCGCTAGCGGCATGGATTCGTAATCGTTTGCCGACCAAGGTGCTACCGGGAACGACTCCGTTCGAAGCATGGACCGGAACAAAGCCGAACCTTTCCCGCCTTCGCACATTTGGGTGTCTTTGCTACTATCATGTACCGGATCCCCTTCGCCACAAGTTGCAACCGAAGGCTCGTGCGGCGATATTCTTGGGCATTGCGGCGAACGAGCGTGCATGGCAAGTGTGGGACTTGGGTGACAAGCGTGTCGTCACATCTCGGGACGTGGTCTTTGACGAAGACAAGTTCCCGTCGAAGGAGAAACCCACTCAACAACTCACCTTCATCCTTCCGCCACGAGAGGAGGCTGAAGAAAGTGAGGTTCCACCTCAAGTAGAGAAGGAAGCCAAAGATGGAGGGGGAGAAAACAACGAGGAGGGTGGATAAGGAGGGCACGGCATTTTGCTCCGTGACCAAGGGTGATGATGAACACGCGGATTCTCACATGGAACCACCCCCTAAAGGTCCATCCCGTGCATACTATGAGCATGTTGGATTGCACACCTAGTGGGTTGGGTGCAAGGGGGAGTGTTGGAAGTTGCGTGGGGCTAGGTTTTGCCCCCAACCACCGAACAGTGTTGCTTGTGGTGCTCACATGTTGCGTGAGCTGCAAGTTTCGAGAAAGTGCAGGTTGACATCGAGGGACTTGAAGTTCGGTGCCACATGGAAACACCATGCTTGATTGTCCCAATCTCTCGAAGCTTGCTTGCAGAGTGCTGAAGCAGTGTGTCTCTGCGTCAACCTGCGAGACCAACTGGTCGGTGTTGGAATCTGTTCACACTGTTCGCCGTAACCGTCTTGGTCCAAGGCGGTTGGCGGATCTTGTATACGTCACCCACAACTACAACACCGTGCGCAAGCTGCATGCGGAACAAGCCAAGAATCGTATGGTTGCAGGAACGACAGTTGGACGGGTGGAGGATGAGGAGAAGGACGATACCTACGAGCCACTCGATGACGAGGAACTCGAGGATTGCTGTTACGAGGAGTCGAAGGATGATGTTTAGTTAAACGTGCTTAATGTTGTACTCAAAATTATAATACCGTCATACCCCGGATATGCTCCCATGGGGGGGAATAATAAAACGTTTTTTTTGGGGGGTGGGCTTATAATCGAGTATTTTTATAAGCGCCAAGGCTTATACAATGACATATATGAAATCTAGTTGTTTTCACTCCAAAGTGTTCATCTTGTCATTGCGATTTCAATCGAGTCAAGATCATAGAGGGTGCGAACAAGAATCTCGCGACATGTCATGATCATAGAGTGTTTGCAAGCTCCCAACACACACTGTCAGAATGAGTCATTTCGCCCCATGGCAGCTCATTCTGACTGGACGCGCAGTCAGTGAGTCACGCGAGGGTGAGGCAGTGAGTCGCGCGAGGGTGAAGGGTCGAAATTTCACAATGTCAGGATGCAATAGTGTGTTTCGTTACAGAGATTCCAGTAACTTTATTGAAACTATTACAAATGGTGGCTCTTATAATACGTAAGCCTTCAGGGGGTGCGCTTATAATCGAGCAGCGGATATAAGCGCCACATGCCAATTAAAAGCGCCAGGCGCTTATCCTAGGGTGGCGCTTATATCTGGGGTATGACGGTAACTATAGTTTTACAACCACATGTGGATCCCCCCTAAAAAGAAAAATACAGGCAGCCCCTAAAAAAAACCTGCCCGGAAACGTAATCTCAAAACTGGAAGTCGAACGTAACGTAAAACGTACGTAAACGTAAACGTAAAACGAACGTAGACGTACGCATAATATCCATCTCATCATGAGAGGACAGAGGGATGAGAGGACGGGGGGACGAGAGGACAGAGGGATGAGAGGATAGAGGGATGAGAGGACCAGGGGTTGAGAGGACAGAGGGATGAGAGGACAGAGGGATGAGAGGACAGGCGGATGAGAGGACAGAGGGATGAGAGGACGGGGGGATGAGAGGACAGAGGGATGAGAGGACGGGGGGATGAGAGGACAGAGGGATGAGAGGACAGAGGGATGAGAGGACGGGGGGATGAGAGGACAAGGGGATGAGAGGACAGGGGGATGATAGGACAGGCGGACAAGAGGACAGGGGACGGGGGGATGAGAGGATGGGGGGACGAGAGGATAGGGAACAGGGGGATGAGAGGACAGGGGGATGAGAAGGAGAGGGCAGGGGGATGAGGAGACAGGGGGATCAGGGGACGGGGGTTGAGAGGACGGGCGGACGAGAGGACGGGGGGATGAGAGGACTTGGGGGTGAGAGGACGGGGGGATGAGAGGACAGAGGGATGAGAGGACAGAGGGATGAGAGGACAGGGGGATGAGAGGACATAGGGAGGATAGGACGGGGGGATGAGAGGTCAGAGGGATGAGAGGACAGAGGGATGAGAGGACAGGGGGATGAAAGGATAGGGGGATGAGAGGACATGCGGATGAGAGGACAGGCGGATGAGAGGACGAGGGTGTGAGAGGATAGGGGGAAGAGAGGACAGAGGGATGAGAGGACAGAGGAATGAGAGGACAGATGAATGAGAGGACTGGGGGATGAGAGGACAGAGGGATGAGAGGACAGGGGGACGAGAGGACAGAGGGATGAGAGGACAGAGGGATGAGTGTCAAACATATATGCTGCTTATTGTATTGCCCATATGGGGTACAACCCAAATTAGGGTTTCCTACTTGTACTCATGCATGCTGTTAGTTCAATCATTCCTGCTGCTAGATTCTAACATGGTATCAGAGCACTAAGGTCCGTAGGACCGTTTTTTTTTTTTCCGGGCCCACCTACCACTGCGGTTACCGCGCTACCCCACGTACTTGCCTGCCTTGCCTTGCCTTGCGACGTACTGCGCTACGCGCGCCGTCCAGCAGCCCTAGCGCTGCCTCCTGCTGCCCTAGGCCAGCGCGCTGCCCCTAGAGGCCCGTAAGGCCCGCGCGCCGCCCCTACACGCCCTTCAGGCCCGCGAACAGCCCCTGCAGACCGTTAGGCCCCTTGCTGTCGCGCGCTGCCCGCACCGAGCCGCGCGCAGCCCGCTGCAGCCGCGCGCAGCCCGCACCGAGCCCACGCAGCCCGCGCCGAGCCGCGCGCAGCCCGCTGCAGCCGCGCGCAGCCCGCTGCTGCCGCGCGCAGCCCGCGCCGAGCCCACGCAGCCCGCGTCGAGCCGCGCGCGGCCTGCTACGGCCTCGCGAGGCCCGCGCGCGGCCCGCAGCAGCCCGCGCCGAGCCGCGCGCGGCCCGCTACTGCCTAGCGCGGCCGCGCGCGGCCTGCAGCAGCTCAGCGTGCTGTCAGCGCAGCCCGCGCCGGGCCGCGCGCGGCCCTCTGCCTCGGCCCCGACCTGCCGCTGAAGCGGCCCCGCCCTGCAGCTGCTTCGGCCCTGCTCTGCAGCCGGTGTTGCGGCCCCGACGTCGCCGCTGTCATGCGCCTACTCGGCCGCAGCCCGTTGAGCGCCGGCCCTGCTCGCCCGGTGAGCGCCTGCTCTCTCAACCTTTGGTGAGCGCCTGCCTGCCGGCCTGCCTGTCTGCCTGCCTGCCTGCCTGCCTGCCTGCCTGCCTGCCTGCCTGCCTGCCTGCCTGCCTGCCTGCCTGCCTGCCTGCCTGCCTGCCTGCCTGCCTGCCTGCCTGCCTGCCTGCCTGCCTGCCTGCCTGCCTGCCTGCCGGCCTGCCTGCATGCCTGCCTGCCTGCGTGCGCGCCTGCCTGCCTGCCTGCAGGCCTGCCTGCCTGCCAGCCGGCCTGCCTGCCTGCCTGCTTGCCTGCCTGCCTGCCTGCCGGCTGCCTGTCTGTCTGCCTGCCTGCCTGCCTGCCTGCCTGCCTGCATGCCCGTCTGCCTGCCGGCCTGCCTGCCTGTCGGCCTGCCTGCCTGCCTGCCGCGCCTGCCCTGCCCGCGCTACTGCTGCTGCTACTGCTACTGGCAGGTGACCAGATGCAGCTCCAGCGACGTTCACGCGAGCCTCTCACGCTCCAGCAGCTTAGTGGGTGGTATACTAGCTGGGGTTGTCGCGGTAGCCGTCGTAGCTGTCGCCCTGGAGCTGGTCAGTTGGGAGCGTCTGGCAGAAACCAGCTGCAGCTGCAGCGGCGTCCACGCGAGACACTTACGTCCCAGCAGCTCCATGAATGGTACGCTCAGTGTAGCAGGTCTATGCGTACAGTTCGCTGCCCGTACGTCATTCGCACAGGTGATCGGTCTGGTCAGCCTTGCGGGACGCTTGGTCACACACAGTCCCGCTGCTTTGCCCGTCTGAGCGACGCCTGGCGTACCGAGTTTGTCACGCGTCTGCTAGCCACACTTGTCACTGACCCGTCGTTTGAGTCTGCTGCTGCGTCTGCCCTAGTCGCTGACCTTGTTGACTTTGCTGCTGCCTGTCGTCTAGACTTCGCTGCCAGTCGTGTTGCTGAGTCTGAGTCTGTCTGTCCTCCGTCCGTCGGGGGTAAGTGTGCTCTTAGCACGGACGTCCCTGAGGACAGGCACGAGGACC